CTATTCCCTCTTCATATGCAAGTTCTTTACAAGGTCCCTCAGCCTTTAAGAAGGCTTAATGTAGATTTCTAATGAGAACAGATCCTGGATTACTGGTAGATAGGGCTGAAAGAAAATCCAAAATAGTGTTTAAATGCCTCTAGATCTCCATCCATCCATCTATCTATCTATCTATCCATCCATCCATCCATCCATCCATCCATCCATCCATCCATCCATCCATCCATGGGGAGTGTTGCAGAACTCTCATGGGGATGAATAGATAATATAAGGTGACTTGATTTATTATTTTTAGCCGGTACCTAAACACCACCTATTATAACATGAGGATGCTGTCATGCCTTCCAGAAGAACTCAAGGGGGAGTTCTCCAGAGCCAATGTTGTCTTCCAGCACCGATCTGTCTTGCAGAACACAGTTTTAGGATGATTGTACCCAAGAAAAATGAGCCTGGAGTGATCAGTAAATAATGTTCATTTAATCATATATCCAACAGTCCTTGACTTTAAAACCTGGAGAGCTAAACAGCAAACAAAAACTACTATGGAAGGCAACCATTTTCCTGTATTCACTAGATCATAATTGAGCACAATGCATTAAAAACAGGTTGCTTACCCGTAACTGATGATCTTCGAGTAGTCATCTGTGCATTCACACATCTGGGATGTAGTGCGCCTGCGCCGACCTCGATTGGTTCCTCTTGAAAGCGAAAGGGATTTTCGCGCTTGGTCCCCAGTCATGCACCGGCCCCACTGCGCACAACCAAGGGAGGAGCACGACAATCCCGCCAGTGAGGAGACACACACCCCCGCGAGTTCCTTCTGACCGCTGCCATCAGTCTCAGAGTAATAAAAAAGGAGAGGACCGAAAGCAGAGGGGAAGGAGGGTGGGTTGTGTGAATGCACAGATGACCACTCGAAGATCATCAGTTACAGGTAAGCAACCTGTTTATCTTCTTTGTGGTCTCTGTGCATCACACCTCTGGGAGATTAGCAAGCAAAAACAGGCCTACCTGGAGGAAAGAGCTGAAGGTCCTAGACTTGCACCGTCTGCAACACTGCCCGTCCCACCACGGAATGTTGATGAAGACGCACATCCAGGGCATAATGCTTCACGAACATTTGGGGGTAGCCCAGGTTGCTGCTTGACAGATGTCAGTGAGCGACGAACCTCTCAGGAAGGCTGTGGACGTGGCTACTGCCCAGGTGGAATGCACTTGGAGCGGGCCTGGAAGTGGCCATTTGGCCAGTAAGTCGCACAGTTTGATGGTTTCCACAATCCACTTGGATAGATGTTGCGAAGAAAGCTTCTTCCCCTGCACAGGTGTGCTATAGGAGACAAACAAGGCCGGTGACTGATGGAATGACCTTGTCCTATCTAGGTAGAAGAGTATGGCTCTCTTGACATCTAGAGTATGAAGACGGCGTTCCTCGTCGCTCGTAGGTGATGGTAAAAACATCAGGAGAGCAATGTTCACTCACAAATGGAACTCGGAAACA